GAGGGCACTCTATCTCTCTTTCTCTCTACCCCCTCTTCTCTATCTCCCTCCCTCCCTCCTTCTATCTCCCTCTGTCTCTGCCTCCCCCCTTCTCTCTCTCTTATTTGCAAAGTGAGATACCAGGGATGGGATCTTCTATGTTGTTCCTGGGAGAAGGAATAGTGTGTGAATTTTGTTTTTTATCATCTTTATAGTTTTCCATATAGCTTGACCTTACAAAATGATGAACATTTATCTTTAAAAATTATAAAGTCATGAAAACATCACTTTAAAAATACATATGATCGCTTCTCGGCCTTTTGGCTAAGATCAAGTGTAAAAATACATATGAATGCCCAGCCAGTGTTGCTCAGTGGTTGAGCATTGACCCATGCACCAAGAGGTTGCCGGTTTGATTCCTGGTCAGGGCACATGCCCAGGTTGTGGGCCAAATCCCCAGTGGGGGACATGCAGAAGGCGGCCAATCGATGTTCTCTCTCATCGATGTATTTTTCTCTCTCTCCCTCTAAAATCAATAAAGAAAAAAAATACATATGAAGCCCAGCCAGAGGGGTTCAGTTTGTTGAGTTTCACCCCATTAACCAAAAGGTCACCGGTTCAGTTCCTGGTCAGGGCACATGCCCAGGTTTGGGCTTGATCCCTAGTAGGGGGTGTGCAGAAACCAATCAAAGTTTCTCTCTCACACTGATGTTTCTCTATCTCTCTCTCTCTCGTCAATAAAAACATAAAAATACATGTGGAGATTTATATTTATTAAAAATGTATTTACTTTTAGAATCTGTTTTGCTCTGCCTGCCAGGAAGCTCAAAGAGGAACTGTGTGCTCAGTTGCATATTGAGTGTTTTATTAACTTTATTTCAGGACCTGGAGTTAAAAACCTGGATTTGAATCCTGACTCCACATTTTGCTATCAAGTGGCGTTTTAGCAAGTTCATTAAGTAACCTCTCTATGCCTGTTTCCTCATTTATAAAATGGGATGAAGGCCTCTGTTCATGACGGTTGCTGTGAGGATTAAATTATACATGTTAGGCTCGTAGAACAGTACCTGGGTCATAGCAATGTTCATAAACGTTATTTTTAAAAATTTTAATAGCCCTGGACGGTTTGGCTCAGCGGTTAGAGCGGCGGCCTGCGGTCCTGAGAGACCCGGGTTCGGTTCCCGCTAAGGGCATGTACCTTGGTTGCAGTTTTGTCCCCGGCCCTGGTTGGGTTGTGCGGGTGGCAGCCACTCTATGTGTCCCTTCACGTTGATGTTTCTCTCTCTCTCTCTGTTCCTCTCTCTCCCTCCCACTCTACCTGAACAAAAAAAAAAAAGGAAAAAGTCCTCAGGTGAGGATAAAAAAAAAAAATTTAAAAAGATTACATTGGCTGGATTTCATCAAGCCAGTTTTCAGGAAGGGCTCATGAATGTTGTAGACCTTTGCTTGCCTCATCTTACCTCACTTTTACTACCTGTTTCTCATGTCTTCCACTCCTAATATTATCTATAACATCTCACTCACCTTTTAATTATATATAAATTCCATTGACTTTGTTTTTATTTATTTATATTGAATTGAGAGGGAGAGAAACATTGATGTGAGAAACATCAATCTGTTGCCTCCTGTACGCACCCCGACCAGGGATCAAACCCATATTACTTTGGTGGACAGGACAATGCTCCAACTAAGGGAGCCACCTGGCCAGGGCTCTGCTTTGTATTTCATCAAATCCTAGATGCCACTGGTTATAATCTGTACTATTATAATGTGAATAACTTAAGAAAGAAAGAAAAAAAAACAAAACCTTAAAGACACCATCAATTCTAAAATACATCCCAAGGGGCATCCGAGGTGTCAGCGGGCAGCATCATGGATCAGGTAATGCAGTTCGTTGAGCCCAGTTGGCAGTTTGTGAAGGATTCAATTTGGCTGGTTAAAAGACTCACCAAACCTGATAAGAAAAGAATTCCAGCCCTGGCCAGTTTGGCTCAGTGGTTAGAGCGTCGGCCTGCGGTCCGGAGAGACCCGGGTTCGGTTCCCGCTAAGGGCACGTACTTCGGTTGCAGTTTGTCCCCGGCCCTGGTTGGTCGTGCGGGTGGCAGCCACTCGATGTGTCCCTTTCACGTCGGTGTTTCTCTCTCTCTCTCCCTTCCTCTCTCTCCCTCCCACTCTATCTGTACAAAAAAATGGAAAAATAGCCTCGGGTGAGGATAAAAAAAAAGAAAGAAAGAAAAGAATTCCAGAAGATCGCCATGGCAACAGCAATAGGATTTGCTACAATGGGGTTCACTGGCTTTTTTGTGAAATTGATCCACATCCCTTTAATAGCATCATTGTTGGTGGCTGAAGGCCTTTTTAGAGGAGGGTTTTTCATCTTGGGGATTGGTGAACAGTGAAGATTTGAGAAGCTCATGGAGTAAAAAAATTTGCCTACATGTTTTGTTTTGTCTTTCTTTCTTCCAAGATGTTTTCTATTTCTAAATTAAAATAATTTCAATAAAAACATCCCAAGTTCAGAGACGTTCAAATGCGTGGGGATAAAAGTGTAACTTGTAATCCATGAATACAGTAGGAATGATCTGATTCTTTATTCCTGACTGTGAACTGTCCCTGCTCTCCTGATGCATCAGTTGACCTGGTTAACTCCCACCCAATCCAGTCTGGCCTCCAGGACTCTGGCCGTGCCACCTGGTGGCTGCGATTCCCACGAGGTCAGCTCCAGACAATTGTCTCACCTTGTCCGCCCAGCTGATGCAAGGGCCTCAGGTTTTCCCTGCATTTGGCAGCTTGTAACCTGACCTAATGTTGATCTTTAAAGGCAGTGGGGCTGCTTTAAAGGCCATCTATCTGACTTTCTCACCTTCAGTGACTATTTTGCTACTTCCTGCTTCAGCCTGTCTGAGTTGGGTTGTTTAGATGGGCAACACAAATGATTTGTTTGTGGTAAAGTAAGTTCCTAAGGAGCACAGTGTGGAGGAACAACTAACCAATGTCCAGGGTAATTCCCCAGGCAGTGGGCAAAGGGCAGAGCACAACAGTCGTGTTCTTGTCTGTGTGGGTTTTGATCACAAAATTATATTTGGAGTTATTCCTTCTTTGTTTTGTCCACAATGCAGTGAAAGGTGGAGTGTGTTGGGAAAGGTTAAGCCTGACATCATACTTGACCCCGGGGGATTGGCAAAGAGGAGGGCAGGAATTAATTAATTAATTATTTTTATTTTTATTTTTTTTATCCTCACCCGAGGACATTTTTCCATCTTTTGTACAGAGTGGGAGGGAGAGAGAGGAAGAGAGAGAGAGGGAAACATCGATGTGAAAGGAACACATCGAGTGGCTGCCACCCGCACGACCAACCAGGGCCGGGGACAAACTGCAACCGAGGTACGTGCCCTTAGCGGGAACCGAACCCGGGTCTCTCCGGACCGCAGGCGGATGCTCCAACCGCTGAGCCAAACCGGCCAGGGCGGGCAGGAATTAATTTAGGAGTCTGATGTTGACTGAGTGCTTTTCCTAAATTATAGAGCCCATCCATGGCCATTATAGAAACAGGGCTCTGGAGACAGAGTAACCAGAATTATATCCTGGGTGGCATTTCTTAGCTGCATGACCTAGAGGAGTGAGTCGGTCTCTCTGAACCTCCACACCTATAAAATGGGGATAATACTTCAGAGTTGCTGGGAAGCACCAGGAATAGCAATGAGCCCACGGCCCGTGCTCAACAAATGGTAGTGGTAACAAACACTGAATGCCTACCATGTACTGACACTGTGCAGATATGAAATAAAAGCTAAACACTATTTATGCAGGTGAGGCATTATTACTTTATTACAGCATTTATATCAAATCTCCCCAAGCTACAAACTGTTAAGTAGCCAAGCCAGCAATCACCCAAGTCTTTCTTGGGACTGCAGCCTCAGCCAGCACTTCTGCCAAGTCCACTGGGCAGCAGTCCCTGGGGTGAGAAACTGGGCCAACCTGCTATATGAACCTCCTCCTGATCTGAGGCCAGATGGGGCTAAGCCGAGAAGGCTGGGTCTTTGCCAGCAGCATGACCCAGTCTGAGAGCTGCTTTTTCTGCTCAGCACAAGCCGGATGGGCTGGCACTGGGCCTCTCATCCCAATTCCCCAACCTGGGGGTGCTTCCATGCCTGCTGACCAGGGTCCAGTCTCTCATCTTTCCATGGCTCCAACAACCAGTCACTGTGACCCACATGCCAGCCGAGCCCCAAGAGAGAAGGCTGAGAGAACCAACCTCCACCATGCGTGACACAGTTGCCTTCTAAATGAGGCATCAATCCCTAAGGAGTAACTAGCAACAGAGCATATTTGAAAGGCCAAGTGGCATGGAAATGAACTAAGACTAATGGAATTTAAGAAACGGACAAGAACCCTTAGGGCTGAGGCAGCTTATCCGTAACCATCAAAACGAAGCCAGTTAGGTCATAAACTCAAATTATCTACAAGATTTGGGAATGCCATGAAAATGAATAAAACAAGTGAAATAGGCTTGTGTTACAAAATAGGTCAACCTTTGACTTTGGGGGCTGCAGACCCTTGCAACAGTTGGCCCATCGGAATGGCTGCTGTTTCTCCTTTAAGCTCAACTGGTATCATTCAAGAGAGAACTCGAAACCCATGTAACTCCTGCCAAATTATCCTAGTGGGCTTGGAGGTGGGGAGGTGGTTGAGGACTAAAAAACGTGGCTATCTGTGTGATCTAGCAGTTTCCTTCTATTGAAAACATTTTCAGGAAGCATTCCTGCTGGTCCCACAGCAAGCTTAACTGACTCTCCTCACAAATGCTATGAGACAGACACTGTGCATCATGACTTACTGGGGAGGCTTCCCATTCTGTTAGTTCTGAGCCTAATCTTTGGCTCACTTAGTGCACATTTATCTCTCTATGGTTTCCATTTTTGTATTATCCTCATTCCTCGGGTAACTTTTAATATACGTCACTTTTTGTTTTCTTTTGTTGAGAACACTTCATTATTAATAGTATACATAAAACGACTTACTGGAGTTGCCGCTTCCTGTCTTCATTGCATGTCACTTCATCTCCTTTCCTGACCTAACATGAGATGATTTCTAGTTCACACTATTTTTTCGGAGAACAAATTTTTAAAAGAGCCACTGCTGCTTCAGACTGTTTTAAAACAAATCAACCACACAAACAAACACAAAAACCTCTCACCATCATCACTGTATCATAGTCTATTCCTGACAAAGTCTGGGGTTTACTTTCACACCAGAAGAGCAACTTCTCTATGATATTACAACTAGAAAAAGTTTCTGGACTTCTATTATCTCTGAAAGAGAAACCACGAGGATGATTAATCATTGTTGTAGTCTTTAACAGGGAAAATAATGATGGGAGTTAATTTAAATGGAATTAAATCCGCCCCCCCCCCCCAATACTAGCCTCATTCAAGTTTTTTTTTTTAATCCCAATTCTTCAAATGTTAAAATAACACCAAGTCAAACCACACAAAGCTACCCCATCACCTGTATAAAACAGATCACTCTATACCTGATTTAGACCAAATGTTTTGTTTTGGGCTACAAAGGCAAGCAAAGGGCAAGTTGAGATTGCCTGTTAATCTTCATTCCTCCCAAACTTCTTACCACAAACATGAAGCCAAGGTTATGATGACCCTTTCTCCTGGTTGCACTTTGTTTGCCACCAAAATCTCTTTCTTCTGAGGGGAGAAGATTACAAACAAAACAAAAACTAGGGTACTTCAATTAATGCTTTATCTATGATTTTGAAACTGACATACAAGAGTAAACCCATATACCATAGTACAATACTGTTTTTAAAATCTATAAATTCTGTAGATGAAACGCACTGTCATAGGCCAGAATCTGATCAGAATTACTTGGATAAAATATTTATCATCCACAACCTTCATTCTAATGAATCTGGAGGTTGGAGTCACTGTCTCAGTGGTTTCTGGCTTGTGAGACAATGTTTTGTTTCTCATACGCTGTATTTTCTTATCCCTGTGCTGGCTGGCCGACAGCCAGGCCCTCAGCATCCACCAGCCACTGCCTCAACCCATAAGCATGCTCCGGCGTAGTCCAGCCTTTTTTGGTCTTGCTGCCCTGAGGGTAATACCACCCAGTTGAATACAACTTTGCCTTAATCACAAGCAGGCAGGAAATCATAAATTTAAGCCTTGTCAACCTAAGATCAAGTTATAGGACAAGTCATTTAGATCATCTGAAATTGTGCTAAGCATGAGAAGCATTTTCCTACGTTTACACAAAGCCCCGCCAGTTCTCCAAATGACGTGTTTGTGGCAAAGACTAGAAGAGAGAGGTCATTTTAAATCATGTAGCTAGAATTTGACCTATGTTAAGACTTCAACCACATCTTCCCTACTTCCCCCTTGCTTTGGTCACTCAGTCTAATACTTTAATAAGTACATTAAAGTATTACCATCCTATTATTACCTTCTTCCTGACAAATGGAAGACATAAGCATGTTTCTACTTAACTCATATTCTGCCATCTTCCTTTCATCCTGGCACTGTGGTTTTTTAAAAAATGTTTTGAGAGAGAGGGAGAGATAGAAACATTGATGTGAGAGAGAAACACTGATTAGTTGCACCATGCACACCCCTCTACTGGGGATTGAACCCACAACCCGGGCATGTGCCCTGACCAGGAATTGAACCAGGATCTGATCTCAGCCCATGGGACGACGCTCAATCCACTGAGCCACACTGGCCAGGTGGCACTATGGTTTTCATGGGAAAAGGAAGCAAGCAATTCTGGCCTGTTCAGACAATGATTCATCCAAAAATGCTATTTTTACTTGGTTTAATACATTGGTTGGAGAGTAAATAATTTAAATGTTGTGAAGAATTAGTAATGTATCTTACTTTAATATAATACAGCAGAGCCCTGGCTGGTTTTGCTCAGTGGTTAGAACCAGTCCATGGACTGAAGGATCGTGGGTTCGATTCCCAGTAAAGGACACATACCTGTGTTGCAGGTTTGATCCCCAGCCTGTCGGAGTCATGCAGGAGGCAACCAATCGATGAGTCTCTCTCACATGGATGTTCCCCACCCCAATCACCCCCTTCCTTCCACTCTAGCTAACAACAACAACAAAATCAATGGAAAAATATCCTCAGGTGAGGATTAACAAAAAACAAATAAAAATAAAAAATAATACAGCATATATATTAAATAAAATGAAAAAAATCACAAGTTTAAAGATAAGATGCTTTTGTGCTTCTTTTCATAAAATACAGGTGATTCTCAAGAAGTAACTTTGGCAAACTTTCTACTGGCTTTCAAATTCATAACCTACAGCCATATATATACACACTCTTAACAGAGCCAAATGTAAGTACTTCAAAATAACTTCTTAGTAAAACTATCAAGTCTTCAAGAGCACACAGAGCTAATAATAGGTTTTGCTTTTTACGGCTTCTTCAAAGGGCCCACAACACTAATTTTTTCTTATGGCTATTTTAATCAGATTGGTTTACTTTATAAGCCTATTAGTTCCCCTAAAAGATCCTATATTTTTTATCCTCGTCCGAGGACATTTTTTCGTGTTTTTTTTTTTTTGTTCAGATAGAGTGGGAGGGAGAGAGAGGAAGAGAGAAAGAGAAACATCGACGTGACACATCGAGTGGCTGCCACCCACACAACCCAACCAGGGCCAGGGACAAACTGCAACCGAGGTACATGCCCTTATAGCGGGAACCAAACCCGGGTCTCTCTGGACCGCAGGCAGACGCTCTAACCGTTGAGCCAAACTGGCCAGGGTCTATTTTTCTTTTGCTCAGTAGTTATTTTCCTTTGTTCTATAGTTTTTAAAGTAAGCATTACTACAACAATTCTCCCAGAAGAAACCAATATAAAAGTTAAATTCATGAAGCATTAACTCTAGCCCTATAATTGTGCTATTTCTTCACTACCTTGCTTGCTTAATTTGCTTGTGGTACTCCAACAATCTTACAATGGAGAGAGACAAAAACTATTAAACCTTCCAACATATTTAAGAAACATTTCCAGAAGAGTAATTTTTCTGTCTTTAATTAAAAAAACTCAACAAAAATATATAATCAGCATTTTACATAATACATACATTCTTAATATCTGCAGGTAAGATAAATAACAGAAGGCAAAAAAGCAGGTATGCTGTATTGCTTCTCTTTGGTAAGTAAATCACCAATATTACCCCCTGCAGAAACATAAGATACATGTAAAATAAACAAAATGGCAAAAAGCACAAAACCATGGTCTTAAAATAACTGACCCTTATTACAAACAACAAAATATTTAGCAATAAAATAATACAGTAGATGGATTTTCAAATTGACTAAAATTTGTAATACTTTATATCACAGGGGTTAAAGTAACAAGCTGCTTTCCAAAATTAAGGTCTGCAGCAGTTTGAGGGAGAAAAAAAGGACACCCTTTCTCTAGTTATATCCTGGCAGTTTTTAATTGAATCATGCCACATTCAAACTCTACCTGTCAGATGTCACCGTTAAGGAAAACAAAATCCTTCCCTATACAAAAACTTTGTTTTATTTGCAAGTCAGCCGTCTAATCGCCCCCTCCCCCATTTTATGAGGCAATTCAGCATTCTTAAGTCAATATTTACCATCTAAACTCAGTGTCCCAGAATAAAAAAATTTCTTCCACTTTACAGCAAAGATACATACTGTGGCTCTACTGAAGCAATATATACATGTCAGAGCTAAAGATTAGAGAAGCAGAAGGGTCCATTCAACACATAGCAGCTTATAGCTAAATATGTACATGTATGTATGTTTTCACAGTTAAATTTTAGAAAAACAATTACATTTTTAATGTTCAGAGTATTTCTACTGTAGTCTATAAATAATATTTAAAAAACTCAACTGATCAAAATGTAGTACAAGAACATATCAAGTTAAATAAATCTTCTAAACTTTGAAAACAGATACTTGAAGTCAGTAAAGCTTGAGGTTTGTGTCTAGTGTGCTCCATCAGTCCCAACTACTCATATTTGCAGAGTCCTCTAAATACGATAGGAGAGAAACTCCAACACTTTGGAAGGAATCGGCAGCTTCTGGACTTCTTGAGTGGGCATCACTCTCCGGATCGACATGCGACATAAATGTTGAAGGCTAGGGATTTGCCTTGGAGTGGCCCAAAAATATACACTTCCATCATGTGTCCTACACAGAAACAAAAAAACCACAAGCTCAGTCATCCGGGTACATGTGTTTCAATATCCCACACCCAGACAACTACCATCCAAGGCTGTCACAAACTGCACTTTAAAAACTAATTAAGGAGACCTAACCAATGCTCACGATCTCCTCTATGACAAAGCAATATTATAAAGAGCCCTTATAAAAGATTTACTAACAATAAATACTGGCTGCTTTGACTAAAAACCACCTGAAACTGTCTCTTGAAAACACAGACAAAATTTAAAAATGGACTTACCCAGCAGCTAAAACACTGCCATCAGTAGAAAAGGCACAGCAAAGACCATTGCTCAAAGGTGCAACTTGTACTGGATAATCCTCATCAATTCTCCAGAATCTCACCATTCTGGGAAGAAAATACATTGTCTAATAAGTATCTAGTAGGAAATTTAATGTAAAAGCAACTTTCAAAATTGAGAAAGAAATGCCACTATATTCTGAGTCACAAAACAGTACATTCACACATAAATCACTAGCAAGCAATTACTGTAATTTGCTTTATCAAGTATGTTATAGTCTTGCCCTGGCCAGGTGGCTCACTTGGTTGGAGTGTCGTCCTATGCACCAAGAGATTTTGGGTTCTATTCCTGGTCAGGGCACATACCTAGGTTACAGGTTCAATTCCTAGTGGGGGTGTGAATGGGAGGCAATACATTGATATTTCTCTCTCCCCCTCCCTTAAAAATCAATAAACATGTCCTCCTGTGAGAATATATATATATATATATATATATATATATATATATATATATAATTTTTAAGTATTTTATATATAGTCTACTGGGTCAACTCATAATTTAAGAGACTATAATGCATGTCTATCTTCCCTTTCCAGTTCAGATCCATAATGCTCAAAGCCCAAACCTTTTCCCTTTTTCTTACATTTAAAAACCAATATCTGATCTGTTTTATTCTCATTCCAAGATGTTTATAAGCCTTTTCACCTAGGTAGATGGTGTCTAGGAACGGTAGAAAACTGACATTCAGAACTTATCTGAGCAAACAGAAAAGCAATGATTACTGGCAAATAAAAAAAATACTCTACCCAGCCCAGGCTGGTTTGGCTCAGCAGTTAGAGCGTTGACCTGCAGTCCAGAGAGACCTGGGTTCGGTTCCCACTAAGGGCGTGTACCTCGGTTGCAGTTTGTCCCCAGCCCTGGTTGGGTCATGCGGGAGGCAGCTACTCAATGTGTCCCTTTCACATCTATGTCTCTCTCTCCCTCCCACTCTACCTGAACGAAAAATGGAAAAATATCCTCGGGTGAGGATAAAAAACAAAAACAAAACTCTACCTGTATTTGCTAACATTCTGGAAAGACGATGAGTTGCTTTCTGAATTAATGTGACCAAATTTCTTAATCCATGCACATTGTAAGATAAAAGCATGAGAAAATGGAATGGCTATATCTAGTTTCTGCTTATTAATAAGCACACCTCGCCCTGGCCGGTTTTGCTCAGCGGTTAGAGCATTGACCTGTGGTCTGGAGAGACCCAGGTTCGGTTCCCGCTAAGGGCACGTACTTCGGTTGCAGTTTGTCCCCGGCCCTGGTTGGGTCGTGTGGGTGGCGACCACTCGATGTGTCCCTTTCACGTCGATGTTTCTCTCTCTCTCTCTCCCTCCCACTCCATCTGAACAAAATATCAAAAAATGTCCTCGGGTGAGGATTAAAAAGAAAAAAAGCACATCTCATCCATGTGACATTTCATCTATCTTGTAGTCCCAATCAGAGTGGACACAAACTATTCTTTTTATTAATTTTTTAGAGAGAGAGGAAGGGAGAGAGATAGAAACATTGATGTGAAAAATGTTGATCAACTGCCTTCTGCAAGCCCCCTAACTGGGGACTGAGCCCACAACCCAGGTATGTGCCCTGACCAGGATCTCTCAGTCCATGGGACGACACTCAATCAGGCCACACCAGCGGGCCAAATTACTCTTTTTACTCCATTGACAATGTCCTTCTGCTTCAACCTTTGTAAGATAGTGTTGCTAGGCTAAAAGCTAACTAATTTCTACTTTATACCCAGTTTCCCTGAACTAGTTAACAAACAAGGAATACAGGAAAGGTATGCATTATTTTTAGTTGACATGGATACTGTTCAGGTCAACCTTCTTTAAGACACACCAACATCTCCCAAGATATAGTAGTCTAGAGAAAGAGACACTAAAACCCAAACTGCAGAAAGATTTTTTTCTCCCCTTTAGCTTTAAGAATGTTTTCATTAAGTAGAAGAATAAAAGGAACTCTTTAAACGGCAATAATAAATAGGTCAAGCTGTGATTCACACACTTACTTATCATCAGCAAGGCTTGCAATATGCAGTCCATCATGACTAAAAGATACAGATCGTACCCATCGGTCATTTGCTCCTCCAGCAAATATTGGAGTAGGTGGGGGAAACAGGTGCCTGAAGTCAAAATACAGGTTTTCAGTGGAAATGACAATCACTTCAAGAAACAAAATTACTCAGGTACAAAGCATATCTGTCTTTGAGTAATGTTTAAAGTGGCTTTAAAAACACAACTAAGAAGACTTGAGAAGAGCTGATGTATCCAAATTAGACGAAAAAGATCCAAAAAGAATTACTAATATTTTACGAATGTGGTTTAAAAGGCACTAAGATTGAGTTCAACTTTAGTTTTAACTACTTTTTTCAATATGAAACTATAAATATAATGACTTCTACAGAGTCATATCCTATTAAACAACAAGATCTGTACCAAGAGAGCCAAGTTTATTTTTAGAATTTATATTTAAAAAGCTTTGCATTATTTAAGGGCTTAAATAATAACAAAATTTTAAATGACAACAGACTGCAATTTTAGGTTTCACATTAGTAATTCTAATCATTCATGTAGTTTCTTAAAAGTTATACTGATAGCCAGAGATGAATTACAGACTAAAATAATTCATGCTGTACACCCACCCAAATTCCATCAGAATGTCTCCAGTATGTGGATCCCAGATATATACTCGAGTATCATAAGATGCAGTAGCCAGTAATGCTCCATCAGGAGAAAAGTCACAAGCTACAACATCATGGTGATGTCCTTCTAGTTTCCGTATCATGGTATATTTATCCATATTCCAGAGGAAAACCTGCAATAAAAAGGCAAATGTTATAGCTTCATTCAGACACACAGAGGACAAAATGGCACATCTTAAACTAAAACTGCTAAATTTAATTCAATTATATTAAATTAAACATGATAAATTACAGATAATTAAAAGAATATGCTCAGTGTCATAGTCAGATTAAAATCAGTCTTTACGTTAATTAAAGTAGACATGCAAATTCTATTTCAAATGTTTCTGTTAAATGTTAATTAAAAAATAGCCTAAACATAAAAAAGGCAGTACAATTTAACCACAAGTTATACTGAAATCCATTTATTCCAAAACTAATTAACTAAAATATACAGAAATAAATAGGGTTAAGTACTACAAACCCTTCTTTTTCTTCCAGAAACTACCAAATTTTAAAAAATATATACAGACAGAAAATGTAAGGTTAACAAATTGTTACTCCATTGGCATCTCCCTTTGAGATAATCACTTGTTTACAAAAGGCTTGGGTCACCAACGTGAGCCTAGGAAGAGAAACAGATACTGCAAGCAAAGAGAATTTTCACAGCCAAATGAAATTTCTTTGGCAAACAACAAGGATGTTAAACCACATTACAAAATGAAAATGCTAATTTACGAAAATAATACAATCAACATTTCTGTGAATCAAGATTTGCTAATCTTATTTTTCCCAAACTGACCATACAATCATTAGTCATTTTAAGTATAAAACATTTAAATTACTTTAGTACAAGTTCACATATAGTTTTAGATTCTAAAATCAGTAGTAGTTAGACTGTGCAGAATAGCTATAAATAGGATTCTAATGTTTACTGTAGTCTGTTATACTAAATGTGAGCTTGGAAATTAAACAATCCTAGTAACACAAATCTCTCTTCCTCTTGGGATAAAGTATTCCTTTTGGCTACATTTTTTCTGCACAGACACAATATATTACTTCCAAAGGAAAAAAATCACAAATTTTAAATTGGATCAGACTTAAGGTATCTATATCATCTCAAAGAATTCCAAAAAATAGTACAGAGAAACCATCTGAAAGCCAATTACATTACATTAAATTGGTTTCACATAACAGACTCCCAATTCCAACAGACTGGAAGATCAATTTACTTGGAGGAGTCAGTGGGTTTCACTGGGGGAAATTATTTTAAAAAAGAAAAAAAGAAAGAAAGAAAAGCAGAAAGGGACATCGACCAGCACCTGTGTACGTACAGTACACCTTGCAGCCGAATGCAAGGTTACTTCATCCTATGGTAAAGGTCGCCCCCAGCCCGGCAGCCAGAGATGCCACTCTTTCTGCCCAGCTAACACCATTGTGCGCCTGTGTGCGAGTGGTGCCAGCATAACCTCAATCACACCAATATTGCTGCCACCACCTGTGACAGGGAAAGCAAGAAGCATATGGAAAACACACAGCCTAAAATAGCAATGTCAACATCTAGCTTTGTTCTTCTTATGATTTTTAAAGAACTAAACTAAATATTTGTTTCTAAACTTGCAACATTTGCAACTATCATTTTAACATACTTATTGGATATAGATAAAATGCATTTAACCAGCCTCCCACCCCCCATTATTTCAAAGTGTATTGTGATCATCCCATGTATTTGGACTTCAACCATTTACATAAATATCTGAAGCTAAAAAGATCTCTAACTCTACTAACTCAGAACTGGTAGACAACTAAAGAGTTCATGAATAAGCATAACCCTCTTGAGAGTTACTTTATACTTTATCTGTCTACAGGTATGCTACGCCTGTTAGCACAAGACAGACTATTTCTTCTATAGTTCACTCTAGAACATACGTGAGTGCTACTTTAATTTTTATTAGATTTTTAAGTTACTTTTTTTCAGTTAAATGTCCAGGACCAGCTGGGACTCAAACTTTTTAAACAGCAAACTGGACAAAAAATAGAACAACAGAGAAGAAAATTATTAGCAAGGGAATGTCTTAACATTTGGACTATATTTCTTCTATACCACATAAACTTTCCTAGATCTTAGAAAAAATGAATTTGACAAATCCCTTATTTAATCAATAGTATCTCTAACTAAAAACAATCCAATTTCTCACTGCACAATCAATAAGTATATTTAATTTCCCTCATGCAAATTCTCCCCATCACAAAATAAAACATTTATGATATTCATGACACCGAGCACAGACTTAATATGTTACTTAAATTTAAAATGATTATGCACATATTATTATAATCCAATTCACAACAAATACATAGGAACTTTGACACGTACTGCTTTACTGGCTCCCACTGAGCACAGCATGGAAGAGTCAGGAGAGAATGCACAGCTGTATACCCAGTTCTGATGGCCCCTCAATACTTTCATCATGTTTCCTGAACAACAACAACAAAAATACTGGTGTTAATCCTAGAATCCACTTCAAATGAGTATCATTCGAAAATGGCAGAATCATAGAATCACAAACTTCCACAGCAGCAATGATTTATCTATTAACAGGTTGGCAATATACATCAGTTACCCATTTTTGAAGCTGAAGTTTTATTGGAATACAGTCATGCCAATTTGTTTATGTTGTACTCCAATGTAAGAACAGAGTAACTATAGCAGAGTTAGCATGGTCTATAAGCCTAACATTTGCCATCTGGCCCTTTAAGAAAAAGCCTGCAGACCCTTTATTTATAGAAGAGAGACTTCTTTTGGTCCAATCCCTTTATTCTACAAATGAAAGAACTGATACACAGCAAGGTTGAGACTTAATGAACATCTTCAAAATGTCTTTTCACCCTTCTTTCTTTTTGCTAACCTATATTCTTCTTCAAATCCCCTGTACATTTTACCTAAAGCATACAATTATGGCTAAGTAAATATTAACTCTTAATTTTACAAATATTTACTAAATACCTACTACTACAGGCAGTGAAGATACAGCTGTTTAAGACAAAGTCCCTACTCTCTTGGAGCTTACATTTTACTGAGTCTACATTCTTAAAACATATGCACACAACTAAAAATATGTTGAGAGCCCTGGCCAGTTTGGCTCAGCGGTTAGGGCGTCGACCTGCGGTCCTGAGAGGCCAGGGTTCGGTTCCCGCTAAGGGCACGTACCTCGGTTGCAGTTTGTCCCCGGCCCTGGTCAGTCGTGTGGGTGGCAGCCGCTCGATGTGTCCCTTTCGCGTCGATGTTTCTCTCTCTGTCTCTGTTCCTCTCTCTCCCCCCAACTCTACCTGAACAAAAAAATGGGAAAATGTCCTCGGGTGAGGATAAAAAAAAATAATAATAATATGTTGAGAAAATAAGCACTATATGATATGCAAAAGAATATAAAAATTTAATTATCAAACTGTTCTAACTATTGGAATCCCTTGATCCTTCAACAGCTGAGAAATCAGAGAATTGTTGAAATGCAGAGGAAGCACCTCATGGTTTGGTTAACAGTAGCATATTATTTTATTAGGCAATGGTCACTACCCATCAGCTGGAACAAGTCTCCAAATGTGAGGGTGTTGCTTCCTACTACATTCAATTTAAACTACCTAAGCAAGCCTGTCAACTTCCAGCTTAAGGCTGTCAGAGAATTAACAGATCTTATTTAAATACAAGGTTTTAGTTGAAACTGTAAACTCATTAGAGGCTAAGAAGAGGGAAGAAATACTCTCTATGGTCCTCTCAAACAAGTTAGCTTCTCCAAAACTTTATTAATAAGCATCACAATGATCAAGGTTTCAGAAAAATCTGAGTACTTGACACTGACATCTTTTATTATATTGAAGGTCAAATCTTTTACTGTTTATAAGGTAATTTCTTACTTAACCTATCCAATGTAATTTTATGTTTACTAGCATTTACATGTTATAAATTCTGAACAAATCATATTTTAATATAAATTTAATTAGATCACCAAGTTATATCTGTTTGCTATTCAAGGTCTATTTAAATTTTCACTAAGCAAATGAGTAACCCTCCCTAAGATAAGAAAATAAACCAACACAGACCAATTCATATAAAACTCTAAAACTGTTCTAGATTTTATCCTCGAATAGTTGATACAGATCTGCGTGGTTATTTTCTGAATAATATTAGATTATTTATTTAGAGTAACTGCTGGCTCCTATTCTGAGTCATACTGATTTTTAAAAAATCTATACAGGGAAAGAGACCAAAGGACTAAGTAGAAAAAAGGAAACTGATCATATGCCACTTTTAAGTCAAATGTTCCAGATATACCTTTCAGTAGTAGTAACAAGAAACTAACTCTTTTTCACAGCCTGGAAAAAAAGACATACCATCATCTTTCAGGTCCCACACTCTCAGAGTTTTGTCTCTTGAAGCTGACACTAGGATCAGGCTCCCATCTGGAGCAAAAGTTAAATCTCTGACCACTTCAGTATGATCTACCAAGTTAAGGAGGAGTTTTCCTAAATGCAATGAAAAGGGAAAATAAGACAATGTTAATAATGTTTATCAGCTTCTATTTTATAAAATAGTGTTCCTCACCATTTAAAAAAATACTTGGGCACCTCTTCAGCTTACCAAGTGTAAAAATGACTTATTTATTAGTGTTTTTACTATTACCTTTAAAGGGAGAGAAAGTGAAACATTGATTGACTGACTCCTGCATGCCCCCTACTGGGGATTCAAGCCCACAACCTATGTGCCCTGACTGAGAATCTAACCAGCAACCTCTGGGTGAATGCTCAACCAAGTGAGCCACACCCACCATGGTGCAAAGCCTATATTTATTAGAAAAAATTAAAAGGGAATTCTTGAGCCCTGGTTGGTCTGGCTCAAACATAATCTCAGTGGAAAAAAAAAAAAAAGTATTTTATCTAGTATTATAAGAGTTTTGTTTTCTATGAAAATCTATATGCCTAGCCCTGGCCGGTTTGGCTCAGCGGTTAGAGCATCAGCCAGCGGACCAATGAGTCGCGGGCTCGATTCCAGTCAAGGGCAAATAGCTCGGTTGTGGTTCACTCCCAGCCACAGTCAGGGTCGTGTGGGAGGCAACCAGTCGATGTGTCCCTCTCACATCGATGTCTCTCTCTCTCTCCCTCCCACTCTATCTGAAGGTAAATAGAAAAAAAAAAAAAACCTCAGGTGAGGATTAAAAATCTATATGCCTAATTTTTTTCAGGAATAAAATTTAATGACTCATCCTCAGTGTTCAAATCACTTGCTGTGTTCTAATGTACATATTGTCCTAATGCTCATTTTTAAAAATTCTTCAAATTTTTTAGTGCATACTATCAGCCAGAAATTAGGCAGTGAACAACACATTTACTTTTCATTACCCAAAGAATGTGACTTCTAATCCTATCTAGTTAAACTTTAGAAAAAATGTCCCTAAAACCTTCCAAAGGGTTAGATGATTGTTAAAAACCCAATTTATCTTGAGGCTTGTAAGCTCTCAATCACTGAAAACTATATTAAAAAAACAAAACAAAACACCTTGCTATTTGAGTCATAAACTAAATTACTAGTTATAAGTGATAATTAGTAAAACATTTCTTTTTGCCATTCCGGCTGTAATATTCTCTGACAAGTGATCAAGCAATGTGAACTCTATTATCCTAAATTAAAGCCATAGCTGAAGATGCTATTAGGCCAACTAAACAGATACATTGTACCAATTGCTTTTCAGGAAATTAAAATCCTCAAATCCTATGGGCACCACCCTGCATCATAAAATAATCAAATTTGCTTTTAAAGCTATGAATCCATACCTGTATATACATCCCATATTTTGATACGCCCATTGTTTAACCCTGTGGCAAGGAGTAGCTGATCTTGTCCGAATTTGAAGCGATGCCATTCTATATTTACACAGCGACTCTGTTTTTCTGGAACCGAAGATCCAAAAGCAAGACTCCAGACTATATCACCACAATCTATAATGTGTTCACGAGGCTTATTTTTCTGAGCACCATCACTGTTTTGTCTTGACAATCTCAAACTGCTTGAATTAGCGATATTCTTTGTGCCATGTAAGAGACTAGGGGAAAGGGTCAGATTGAAATCTAATTATTATTTACTCTGGACTCCAGTGGATATGAAAGTTAAAACAACCTCAATATTGTTACAGTGATACTAAATAATAATAGAATCCTATAAACGGGAAGGGGAAAAGTTGCTTTTAGCTATGAGGGCATGACCAAATAAATTCTCAGTAGCTGAAAAAGAGAAATTCAACAATAAAGTAATTTATAATTTATTTTTTCAATTTTTTCTTCAAAACCATCATATCAGTTAGGACTCCTTTAACTAACTTAAAGCAAGTATAAACAAACAAAAAACAAAATAAAAAACTCAAGAAGATATTGTGAAGCTGACACCAGAAAACTTTCCTAAAAAAAAACTAAACAACCCTGTGATCAGTAGTTACCCATATTTTCTAGACCTAAAGTAATATGTAATAAGGACATTAATAAATATAACTATGAAAGTCGACTAGACACAAAAAGCAGGAAAGGATTATTTAGGTTATGATACATTTTAGAAAAACTTCCAACAAATATCCACACTCAAACCCAAGTAGAGAACAAGTACATAAAAAGTAATTACATGATCTATGCACCTCTGTTATCTAATAAAATGTTGTGAAATCAAAAAGCGTCACATAATAAAGGTCACCTGACCTGACACAACACAATATATACACTACACCAAGGCACAATTAATCTGCCTTTTAATACACAGAAACATTTATTAAAAACACCAAAGTATCTAAGAAAGTGTTCTATAATATATAAGACCAGATCATTCTTCCCACAAATTTTCCAATAAATACATTTGGCTTATGATAAAACATATTTACAATAGTCTACAAAGGAAAACCTTAAATATCAAAATCTTTTTATTACTCCACACAGTGAAAACAGGAAATTCTACAAATACAAAATAAAAAAAAAGAAAAATATCTTACAAGTTCTTATGGCACTGGGACCACGGAACAAGCTTTACTGTACAATGTCCTTGGGACCAAGCGAAGTATGAACCATCAGGAGCAAAAGCAACAGTCCAATTTTCACGACCACATTTCTTGTCAAAAGGAGCTGCTAGAGCCAGAAGTTCACCTATAGTACGTGATCTCACTAAAAAGAAAAAGAAAAATACAGGGTATTATATATAACCAGCAATGAATTTGAGACTGCCTCCATATTATTTTGGGACTCACTCAAACTCCACTGAGTATTTTTTTCTCTTTTCTATAAGGACAAAATACAATTGAGTTCTGCTTTCCACCCTTTGAGGGGACATACCTAGAATGAAGACCCCTTAATGATAATATCTTCAAGTTTTGGGGAAATGAGTTTCCTAACACTTTCCAAAGCAAGGGCTTTTTAGACAGTTTAAATAAAAAATACTGGTCAAATACTAATATGGTAATGATCAATCATGGCTAGTGATCACTGAAGTCCTGACTTTTGCATTGCCTTGTGTTTTCATCAAATTACTAACATTTAAAATGCAAGAGTCTAGCTCTGGCCCGTGTGGCTTGGTGGTTGGAGTCACAACAGCCAACAGGTCTCAGGTTGGATCGCTGGCCGCAGTTGGGACATGTGCAGGAGGCAGCCAATCGATGCCTCTCTTTCACATCAATGTTTTTCTCTATCTCCCCTCTACCCTCCCTCCTCTCCACTCTTTCTAAAAAAATTAATGGAAAAAATACACTCGGGGTGAGGAGTAACAAAAAAATAAATCAAATGCAAGAGAATAAAGTTACTTTGCAAGAAAAATACCTTCCAAAAAGTCTGTAGCTTTCAAAAACCATAAACCACTATAAAATACAATAGGACATCATTACGCAAAGAAAAGCACTATAAAGTGGTCTATTCAAAATGAATATTCTTATCTTTTTCAGGCTCAGGTCACAAAAATCACAAAACCCTCAGAACTAGAAGGAACTTAAAAGACTATTTAGTCCCAATTTTGGGAAAGGATCTTCATTATCAGTGTTTGACCAGTGCTGTCTTGGATTGGTCTTACTTTCAAATTTTGCTATTTCCTTCTTAGTCATAAGTCATTGTCAAGTTTAGATTCCCTATTATTTATTTTGTGGTCAGCAGTCTGGTTCTCTCTACAGTGTATTTTTTTATGTTTTGGGCTTAAACTTCCCAACAACTGAACTTCAATATATTCCATGTACTGCAGTTCAAATAAGAATCACTTATATTTCTACTGCAAGGGCTGATACATGAACCTCAAAATATACTCATTCAGTGACACTTCCAGTCTCAAGGTGTGCTCTATCAACAGCTAGATAGCACCTGTCATATGCCAGGGACTCATTAAATATTTGTCGAATGGATATGAAAGCACATGTGTAAGCTCTCATGCTTAAGTGATTTAAATATTTCATTGCCTAATTCTTGATATATGAATAAACTATGGCTTAAAAAGTAAACAAAACTGAGACCTATTTTTCTATATTCATAAATATGGATACCTAATAAGGCTCATTCTTATTTGGTGTAACTGAGATTATCAGAAAATTTCCTTTTGATGACTCAAAATCTTCCTCCTTGCCACTCCACCCACTCAGTCTCAATTCTGACCTAAGAGGATAAACCTAATCCTGCTCTCACGTGACATTTATATGTTGAAGACAGCTATAATATAGTCAATTAAATCTTTCCACCTGGCTAAAATCTCTAGTCCTTTCAATCATTCCTTAGATTAGATGGTTTCAAGTCCATTCGCCTTGTTCATACTTTTCCGGATAAACTCCAGTTACTAATAGCCTTCATAAAAGTGGCACCCAGAGCCCGGCCAGTGCGGCCCAGTGGTTGAGCGTCGACCCATGCACCAAGAGGTCATCGGTTCGATTCCCAGTCAGGGCACATGCCCAGGTTGTGGGCCAAATTCCCAATGTGGGGGCATGCAGGAGACAGCCAATCGATGTTCTCTCTCATCAATGTTTCCATCTCTCTCTCGCTCTTCCTTCCTCTCTTTCTAAAACCAACAGAGAGAAAAAAAAAGTGGCACCCAGAACTAAACACAATATTTCAGATGTGGCTTAATCAAACAGCAGAACCCCCACCTACCACCAACTCACTTGTAGCAATACATCATAAGGTGTCATTAACTTCACTCACAATAACATGACTAATACAAAATTTACAAACCAGTGACCTTCATATGCCTGCATAATGACTTTTTAAATATACAAATGCTTTTTGAAAAGGCTTGCCTCTCCATGTTTCCTTACATTCCTCCAAGCCTATAGTCTTATATAGTCATTTCACTAGGATACTTTATGTGCCCAGCCCCTGAATTTACAACCCCTGCCTAAATATATATATATTTTTTAAATTTAGGTTTCTTTTTAACCACATCTATCGATAATTTTAGGAGGAAAAAAATAAAAGTTCACGAATAGGGGAAGCAAGCTTTAGTTTCAACCGAAAAATGCAAACATCATCTTAAAAAGGGAAAGCCCCTGGTTATCTAGATGAGTATACTTCTGTGATTTCTATCTAAAAAAATTTGGCCCTTTCACTCAATTTCAAAAACACCTGGTAAATTAGACTAGCACTCACCTCTCCTTACGCAAGCATAAGCAAGGTTAACTTTCCCACAGAAAACTCATTTTTTTGGTCTGTATTTTCTTTCAGGATTCAAAATATTTTTAACAAGGTTGGGGTTTTTTTTGTTTGTTTTTTTTCCTCACCCGAGGACATTTTTCCATTTTTTTTTGTTCAGATAGAGCGGGAGGGAGAGAGAGGAAGAGAGAGAGAGAGAGAAACATCGACGTGAAGGGACACATGGAGTGGCTGCCACCCGCACGACCAACCAGGGCCGGGGACAAACAGCAACCGAGGTACGTGCCCTTAGCAGGAACCGAACCCGGGTCTCTCTGTAAGGCTGTGTTTTTTTTCTTCTTTTACCTTGGCCACAATCACAAAATTCCTTTTATATAAAGGGTGGTGATAAATTAACTAAAAAACAGGTTCAAATAAAGACCACAAAATAATAAGCTAATTTATTCTTGTATATAAATTCAAGAAATGGAGCCAAATTAAAAAAAAACCTTGCGAAATACTGTTACAGTATTGTATTAATAATTACCTCATGTTTCTTTGCTTAACAGGTCTATCAAATGATCTCTGCAGTTTAATCAAATGGATTTAAGTGCTCATTTAAATACTCACTGGTACAATATTATAAAGTAGCACAAGGTTTATAATGAAGTACATTACCTACAACTGTTTAATGTTGGTATCCTAAAAAATGTATGATTTAATGACCTTGTATAAGGGAAAAACTGCCTGCTATGGGAACTCAGCCATAAAATACAACTCTACATTATTAACAATATATCTGTACAGTAGGACCACATCATCTGAGTCACTGCTGAACTGAGCTAACCAGATTTAGCTCATCTTCACACTCCTCCCTGCAATTTCATAACCAGAAAGGGAGGATGTGTGATAGTGCCTTGTGAAAGAGCGCAGTAACACTCTGTCACATAGATTTCTTTAATCATTCATGGAATCCTGTCTCTCCTCTTTCAGTTATACTAGAGAACCCAAATAGGTATAATTAATACTCAAGAAAGAAGGGGAAAAGTCCTTACTGATAGATACAAAGCTACACAGATAAACTAGTGTTTAACTCTGTATCTCAATGATACTTCAAAAAAAACGTTAGAAAAGGTCAAAGTATTTTTATATTGGCACTTAGCTAGTAATTTGATATTATATCAAGGAAATAACACCGAGACCTAAATATGCAAAAAAATATTTTTTTTTATTAAAAATGCTACTTAGATTATTCTACCTTATGCAGGTCTGCTAAAAAGCTTGATCCCTTAGAAGAGAGGAGTGGAAAGTTTTCAAAATGGTTCAGGTGAGGTAAAGACACATATTAAAGAAAGGCAGATCACTCATCTGTAATATGTAGTAGGAAAAAAAAAAAGCACTGAACTGAGAATAAGCACTTTTGAGTTCCATGTTCCACATCAGGGCATACTAGTCTTAAAGTGCAGTTAAAATAAAAGTGGGACATGAATTTTGTTTTCTCTGCATATTTAATAAATATTTAATAGTTATTAAAATCGGGTTAAAATTCCCCTCCTAAACTGCCATTCAACCTTACCCGCAAGAGAACTGAAGCCCAGAACTCCAAGCTGTCTCTAAATATAAAAAAATGGACCCCCATACAGGAGAGGGGGCGCTTTGGCTACTTCAGCTTCTCCCTTTCTCTACAAAATCCCCCTCCAGGCACGTCAAGAACAAGGAAACGCAAAGGCTCTCTTCCTCAGCAGCCACCTTCAGTGTCCATTTAATTAATACAGTAAGTTCAGAGTTGGTGTTGGGGGGGGGGACGGGGGACGATGCTAAATCTATTTTAATTTTAAAAATAAAAATTGCAGATATTTAAGGTATATTACATGATGACTCGATCGGTTTAATTTTTACCAAGTCTATGCACCCTCCAACCCCCCAAGGCTGTTCCAGTTATTTTACCTTGGGAGAGGATTTAAATAACGCGAGGTGCTTTTAAGTGAGCCGCCGAGGTCCTGGCGCGGCCCCCCAACTCGGCTGCCCGGTGCGGAGCTGGTCACTGAGCGTTTTCAGCCTTTCCTGAGCCCGCTCTGGCTACACCCGCTGTCCCTCGGCCCCTCCACCCAGCCACTCGCTCCTCCCCGCTCCCTGGGTTTGAAAGATAATTCAGACTCGTCCTCCCCTGAACCACTCCCTTTCTTAGCGCCAGGCCTTTTTTTTTTTAAAATATTGCCTTTTCCAGGCTGATGGCACCGATTCGGTCGCGTTTCTCCTGAAAGGGAGGTTGGCACACGGGGACCCCGCCTCTCATTACAGCTCAGGACACACAAGTTTACTTTCCGCACGTACGTTTAAGAGTCCCCGAGACTCACCCAACACTCCCCTGTCCCCCTCGACACCCCAGCCGCTGCTCCAAGAATCCTAGGAAAACGGCCCCGCTCGGAGGAGGACACACGGGTCCCCAGGGGTGTGTCCGCCCCGGCCACACAGTCAGTGGGGCCCTCGCCACTCGGCGCCCACGCTCCCCTCGACCCTAAGCGCCGCGACCGCCTCCTCCGGGGCCAGGCGCAGGGCCGGCGCGGCAT